GGAGAAGCCCAGTTCGAGCTACACAAGTGGCATTCCAATGCACCAGAGTTGGAAGTGAACTCAGCACCAGATGAATGCAACCAAAGTTATGCCAAGGAACAACTCGGAGTTAAACCTGGAGAAACAAAGATGTTAGGCCTACCATGGAACAAAACCGAAGACACGATTGCTGTAACCTTCCCGGAGTCACCCCCTGAAGTAACCAAGAGAGAAATGTTGCGATTCCTTGCTTCAATTTACGATCCACTGGGTGTCACATCACCAGTATCTCTCGTCGGAAAGCTGCTTTACCGAGAGGTGTGCGACCTGAACCAATCATGGGACAAAGAAGTACCAAAGTATATCGAAAGAAAGTGGAAACAATTCGAGAAAAATCTACCTGACCAAGTTGCAGTTCCACGCCCGGTGACGGCTTTCCAGGAAGCGATTGATGCCATTGATTTGCACGCGTTCGGAGACACAAGCGGGACAGGGACAGCAGCTGCCGTGTATGCTGTGGTTCATCAAGCAAGTGGCTCAAATCAAAGACTATTAGCAGCTAAAGCGCGCCTCGCGAAGAAGGGGCTAACTATCCCAAGGCTAGAACTGGTCTCAGCGCACATGGCGGCAAACCTTGTAGCAAACGTGAAGAATGCCCTTCAAGGACAGCCCGTGAAGTCGGTTTATGGATGGCTTGATAGCACAGTGGCCCTCCATTGGATCAGGGGAGGAGGAGGAAGTACCTATAAACAGTTTGTGGCAAACAGGGCACAGAAGATCAGAGAGAAAGATTTCATAGAATGGAGACATGTTGGAACCAGCCAGAATCCAGCGGACATCGGCAGCAGAGGCTGTGATGGAGACAAGTTACCCGGGCTGTGGTTGGAAGGACCGGAATGGTTGTCAGATCTCGAGCGCTGGCCACCTCATCTACTCACAGAACCAACGGAGGAAACGGAAGCAGAAGCGAAGTTAACTAAGGAACTCTTCCGGACTGCTGTAGAAACAAAAAACGAGCTAGATAACATCTTAGAGAAGCACAACTACTGGACAACAATCCGAGTAACAGCATGGATCAGGCGCTTCCTGGATAACTGCAGGTTGAGCAAAGAAGCACGAACCCGAGGTCCTTTGACAACGGCTGAGACTGATAAGCAAGCACAGTGGTGGTTCAGGAGAGCACAAGAAAGCTACAGTGGAACAGAATATTTCAAGCAAGACCAGTTAAGACTCAACTTGCAGAAGAATGGTTTGGGGCTGTACGAGTGTCGTGGTAGAATACAAGGAAGCTATCCAATTTACCTTCCTCCAGATGCCCCGTTGTCAGAGAAGTTAACCCAGGACGCACATATCATGACGTTACACGGGGGAGTTGGTCTCACTATGGCTTTTATCAGGGGCGAGTTTTGGATACCCCGGCTGAGAAGTTTAACAAAAAGGGCAATTAAAAGTTGTTTTGGATGCAAAAAGTTCCAAGCAGCAGCATTACAAAAACCACCTCCTGGAAACCTTCCAAATGACCGTACCTCTGGCTCAGTTCCATTCCAAGTAGTGGGCGTCGATTACGCCGGTCCAATTTCTTATAAAATCGGCAAGAAAAGAGGAGACGGGAAAGCCTATATTTTGCTGTTTGCATGTAGTCTCACGAGGGCCATCCACTTGGAGCTGTTGACTAACCAAACAGCTGAGGAATTCGTCAAAAGCTTCAAGCGCTTCATAGCAAGAAGGGGCAGGCCACAAAGAGTGTACTCCGACAACGGGAGAAGTTTCGTTGCGGTTTCAAAGTGGTTAAAAAGGATCATGAAGGACGAGAAGCTCCATGACTACCTAGCCCACCACCATATTGCATGGCAATTCAACTTAAGCAGGGCCCCTTGGTGGGGCGGCCTATTCGAGAGGATGATAGGACTTGTAAAGCAGGCCTTGTACAAGTCTATAGGGGGAGCCCACCTTACATGGGGTGAGCTGGAAGAGGTGATCCTGGACGTTGAAGTCACTCTCAACAACCGCCCCCTGACTTATGTAGAAGACGATATCCAACTACCCGTGCTGACACCCAACAAAATGATGTTCGGTCAACCCAACCTGCTGCCCGAAGATGATGTTGATTCGATGGAGGACGGGGATCTGAGGAAACGTGCAAGACATATTCGGCGCTGTAAGGACGTGCTATGGTCCCGATGGACAGGGGAGTATATCAAGAGCCTGCGAGAGAGGCACAATCTCAACCACAAGAAGGGAGGACCGCCTATCAAGGAAGGTGATGTCGTGTTAATCCAAAATGACGAGCGTAACAGAGGAAAGTGGAACCTCGGGATCGTGGTGAAGCTAAT